GACTTTAGACCATCGGAAATAGGGCTATTACTCGAATTAATAACAACCTTGTCAACTTTTCGATTTAAAGCTTTCGTGACTGCAAGGATTCATCTTTGGTTCTTTCGGTAAAGTCACGTAGAATGAGAATAAAATAATAAATTGATAAAATTAAATAACACAATAATATTCTCACGATGTTTCGGCCACAACACAAGCGGCCTTCATCAGGTGAAGGGGACGAGACTGTCTGGAGGACAGCGCTGGAGTGAGAAAGCCACGCTGAGATCACGACCTTTAAGCTGTGTGAGAAGAAACAAAGCGCCTTGACAAAGGAATTAGCATATAATTTAGCATTGAAATGGCTGAGTGATTAGCTTGTGACTGGTCACAGAAAAGGCTATGTTAAAGTTAAAGCATACACATCCGCAAAGGCACCCTTGACAAAGGAATTAGCATAGAATTTAGCATTGAAATAGCTAAGTTCAAGTATACACATCCGCAGAGGCACTCCTTGACAAAGGAATTAGCATAGAATTTAGCATTGAAATAGCTGAGTGATTAGCTTGTAATTGGTCACAGAAATAGCTATGTTAAAGTCAGAGCATATACATTCACCGAGGCACCTAGTACAAATCAAACAGGAGAATTTAGCATTGAAATAACTAGGCGAATTTAGCATTGAAATAACTGAGTGATTAGCTTGTGACTGGTCACAGAAATGGCTATGTTGAAGTTAAGGCCTACACATCTGAGCTATTCACAGCTTATATGATTGAGTCACTCACATTTCAAGAGATGCCGCGACTGTAAGCTAATACCGATCTCATTTACACTGACCTCTGCTGCCGTCACATCTTACAATGCCAAACTAATCTTGAAGAATTCCATCTAGATTTGAAGAATTCCCTGATAAAAACGCTACACCATAGAGCTCAATGTATCTCCGACCGTGAACACCTGACCAGTGAACTCAAAACACGTACACCAGGCTCTCAAGGCAAATGGATATTTTGACTACACAATCCACAAAGCCATCACCCCCACCGTGAGGAAGGAGCCATCTGAAGAGCCAATCAAAACCATCACCTTACCTTACATAGCAGGGATAACCAAAAAGATTTCCAAAATCTTGAACAAACACAAGATCCAGGTCGGATTTAACACAGTGCATAAAATTCATGACCTGATCCCATCTGTGAAGGACAAGATTCCTGACATGCAATATCCCGGCATCCACAAACTAAGCTGTATCTACGGCAGCAGTTACATTGGGGAAACCAAACGATATGTCTCGGGCCGTGTTCGTGAACATAAAGCAGATCTGAAACACGACAGGACCAATACTTCTGCCTTGGCTGATCATTACTTTAATGCGGCTGGCTCACATGAAATTGATATCTCTAAGACGATGATTTCTCTAAGACAATGGTACTTTGCAAGCCGACTGGCTATCAACAAAGATTTGTTCACGAAGCCATCCATATAGACAGACACAGACACAATTTCAACTGAGACGACGGTTTTAAACTCAGCAATCATTGGAAAGATGTAATCAACCACTTTGGGTCATGACTTGATTTGTGTTTTCTTGTCCACCTCCACCATCAGCAGTGTGAGTGTGTGGAGCGAGGTGCAATGCTTTGCTTGGTGTAGACCTACTGCCGGTGTCGGAGCCTTCTCCTACATTAACATTAGCTGCCCCGCCCATCTCTAAACCTTTTACAGGTCCCTGCAGGGTGGGCTGGTAGGAACATTGGAATTTTGCGCAATTTTATTTTTACACCCAAACAGCACGAGATTTCACTTCGTTAAAGTATTGAAAGGGGACGGACGGACGGACACATTAATCTATTGCAGGCTGGTACACTCAGTTTACAACTTCGTTCCTACCAGTATAAACAGCTCTTTGATTGGTGTAGACCTACTGCCGGTGTCGAAGACCTCTCCTACATTAACATTAGCTGCCCCACAGATCTCTGAACCTTTATAAACAGCTCTTTGATTGGTGTAGACCTATTGCTGGTGTCGGAGACCTCTCCTACATTAACATTAGCTGCCCCGCCCATCTCTAAACCTTTATAAACAGCTCTCTGATTGGTGTAGACCAGTGGTTCTTAACCTTGTTGGAGGTACCGAACCCCACCAGTTTCATATGCGCATTCACCGAACCCCTCTTTAGTGAAAAATAAAATGTGATTTTTTTCAAATTCAAGACATAGATATGTTTTTTACTGGTACACAAAATGAGCCGTGCATGAACATTACCTTGTTCAAAGAATAAAACCAACATAATGCATAAACTCACAACAAATTACATACCTGGAAATCAATGTGACTTCTGCTGTTGCCTTTGAGAGATCAGTTCAGATATGCGTGGCTTCACCTTGGCAAGTGCCACTCTCATGTCATTTTCACAGCAAAGTCTGTTCCTTTTCTTCGTTTTTATGTCCAGCATCCTCGAAAAGGATTGCTCACAAAGATATGTTGTAACAAATGGTATAAAAAAATCCAGGGCTTTCTTAGCAATAACTGGATACTTGTTCATTTGTCGACACCAAAACGTTGAGAGCGTTGTTGTTCTGAAGAGTTGCTGTTGAACCTGGCTCTGCTGAATTTCAATGATTTCGTCGAGGAATTCATCATTGACATCTGCTGTTTCAACAGCAAACGTGAACGGCTGTCTCACCCATGCTGGATATGACTCTCTTGTAGGGAAATATCCGTCGAGAGACTTTGCAAGCTCATCTAAGTGCGTGGCAATTGTTTGCTTCAGTTCCGTGGATACAGAAATATCTCCGATTCCAGACACATCTTCGATCTTACTTGCACAGTCGTCCAGAAGCGGGAAGTTTGCGAAGTTATTGTTCTCTGTTCGTCGTTTCCATAACGGTAGCTTTTTTTGAAAAGCCTTCAGGTGTTCTTCCGCTTCCATGATATTGACTCCACCACCCTGCATCTGCTGATTGAGATGATTGAGAGCTGCGAATATATCAGCCATGTACGCTAAAATGAGAATGAACTCAGGATTTTTCAAGCAATCTGCATGGCAGTGTTGGTGCTCTTGCAAAAACAGGGCTAATTCCACACGCATGGCAAAAACACGATTCAGCACCTGTCCCCGGGATAACCACCGAATATTACAATGGAGCAGAAGTACCTCAAATTCAGAGCCCATTTCTTTACACAGCTCACTGAAGATGCGGTGCCTCAGAGCACTTTTTCGCACATAGTTCACACATTCCACCACAGTTTTTAATACTTCTGCCATTTTTGGAGGTAAGGTTTTTGTTGCCAACGCATGCCTGTGCAGAATACAATGCGTCACAATGATGTGTGGTGCATCGGCCTTTACTAGCGCACCAAAACCAGACTTTCTTCCCAGCATGACTGGAGCTCCGTCCGTACAAACTGCAGAAACCATATCCCATGAAAGATTGTTGTCTCTGAAGAAGTCATCCACAAGCTTCTTCACATCGGCTGCCTTCGTTGTTGTTGTAAGAGGCTTACAAAATAAAAACTCTTCTTTTATCATGTCGTCTTTCACATAGCGTACAAAAACAGCAAGCTGGCTTAGATCAGAAGCGTCTGTGGTTTCGTCGAGTTGAAGGCTGAATTTTGCCGGGCTTGAAATCAGATCCGCGACTACTTGAGCCAAGATGTCTTTACTCATGTCTTCTATTCTGTCACTGACGGTGTCATTTGAAAGGGGAATTTGGGATAATTTACCTTCGGCCGCTGTTCCGAGTATCAGATTCGCCATCTTTAATGCAGCTGGTTTCACAAGTGTTTCACCAATGGTGTGTGGCTTGCCCTGCTTTGCGATCAGGTAAGCAACTTCGTACGATGCTGTCAGGATCGGTTTGTTAACAGGTACAAATCCAAGAGCAGGCAGAGTGGCCCTTTCATCGAATCTGGCTCTCTTCACCCTGAATTCAGCAAGTGTTGTGTTCTTGTATTCCCCGTCTCCATGCAGCTTCAAGAAGTGTTCCTTTAGTTTTGCCGGTGCAAGACTAGAGTTGCTCAACTTGGCGTTGCAAATCATGCAGATAGGACGCTGACTCCCATCACGTTCCGTGATACATGAGAATCCATGTTGTACATATTCGTCCGACCACTTTCTTCTTTTGCCCGACATAGTTAGTATGGATAAAATATTAAAGAAATCACACGACGTACGACAACAACAGTCACACGTTGACTACTGAGTACGCACTAAATTCCCCACAGCGCTGATTGGCCAAGCAGTGTAGCATGATCATCTGCAGCCAGTGATGGCCAAGCGGGCCGTGTGTGTCATCACAAATTTACACAATAATTCAAGTGTGTCCGGACCTCCGTGGCGGGGGCTCTGCCGAACCCCTGAGATCGACTCATCGAACCCCTGGGGTTCGATCGAACCCAGGTTAAGAACCACTGGTGTAGACCTACTGCCGGTATCGGAGCCCTCTCCTACATTAACATTAGCTGCCCCGCCCATCTCTAAACCTTTATAAACAGCTCTTTGATTGGTGTAGACCTACTGCCGGTGTCAGAGACCTCTCCTACCTCCGCCCATCTCTAAACTTTTATAAACGGCTTGCCTTCAGAGGCTAACCTCCCTGTTCTTGATGACGACTGCTTGTGTTGCGTTCGAAACGTCGTGATATTTGTATTATTTTTTATTAACTTTATTTTTATTATTTAATAATTATTTTTTCTATCTACGTGACTTTACCGAAAGAACCATAGAATAAGGTAACATATCTTAATATATCGATAATATGCACTTTTTACACCGATGGTTATACAGTATAGATGCGCAATGGGTTACTGAGCATGCTCTGTTTAGGTACTGTATCATGTTAACAATCAACCAAAAATGCTTCAATTTAAGTACTTTCAATTTACGTTCTGCTTTTCAGGAACACATCCTGGACATAAACATTTCAAGGTGTAATATCAGATGGAAAGATTTTGAAATTGTATTATTCATACTGCAGTTGTTCTTGTGTTTATATTTGTTTTTTTTTATTGTTCAGGATGATGAACGTGAACAAAGAGCAACCAAGTGGAGGGAAATGTGACGCTCAGTTTGAGTGCACGGTCTGCAAGCTGCACGCTCCATACAATTACTATGGCAGGAAACCCTTCTACGCAAAGGCTCTAGAGTAAGAAACATTTTTAAGTATTAGTGGTACACCGGTGTAGCCTAACACACCGGTCCTCATAAAACAGTCCTAAAAATCTAAATGTGAACTAAAATTCGTGCTCTGACCACTTCAATATCACGAAAACTGATTTTGACGCACCACCACCATCCCCGCAAGATTTTCTGACTGGGGCTTGCGAATCGCGAGAAAATGAATAATTGTAAAAAAATGAGATTATTTTTATACCACGTACCACAGGTTTAATGCCAATACATTCAATTGCGTTCTGATTCTTCATTGGGTTTTTAACCACAATAATTTTGCCTCCAATTTCTAGTTTGATGTTTTTTTCTTTATTTATTTGTTATTGCTCTAATTCACTCCCATCACTTGCTCACTGGTGGACAGTCGCCTCCTCATCACGGTTCTATCACTAAAACCGCAGTCGCTATCTCCTTGAATGTCACTAGTTGATTCCTCCACCTGCTTTGAGGACTCGGTTTACCACACTGATGCCCATACTGCGTTCAACCGCCACACCGTAGGTCACAACACTCCTCTCTCTTTCTGCTTCGTCCCTCGCCCTGCTCCACTTGGAATTTCTCTCCCATTGTCTTTTTTTTCCAAAACTCTCAAAAGATTTTCCCAATTTATTTAACCAGGAGATGAAATAAATCCATTGAGACACATGAAACACTCCCTCTGAGGGTGTCTCTTATCTGTTACAACTGTAGTTAGTCCTGAGTCGCAGACGTTCCTTTTAGAGGCAACACTTTTATTTGTAACACCGCAACACCGTAACACAAAGAGTAACTGCCCCTTTACCAGACTACAGCGAGTTACTGCTACGAAGGGTCGATCCCTCACTCGGGTCTCCGACCACGTGGTTGCCTCGTAGGACGAAGAGCTTCAGCTTGAGACGTAGAGCTTCCCGCTTGTAGATGTTGAGCTTCCAACTTGTAGAATGCAGCGACCCCGGTCCCTCTCAGGGACCCGCCTTATATCCCCCTATGGTCGGGGCCGCTCCGCCCTCGGCCCCGACCGCCTTCTCGAGCATTCTCGTTCCCTCTTGAACCTTCTCAAGAGCTCTCTCCGGACACGTGATCACCCACTAGTCCCCCCACCTGGGGCCCCCTGTGTGGACATTCCAGATCACGTGTCTACGGGGTCAACCAGAGTGCCACGGCCCGGGGCAAGGCTGCCCCTTGGGCTGACACTCACCCCCTCCCCCTCGGGGGAGCCCCCACCACATGCTGAAGTGACTAACGTTTATGTCCCGAGCCAATTGAAAATGTGCAACAAATCTCTTGTTGCTGAAGCATCGATCTTTCCATTGTAATTGAAGCTGCATAATTTACATAATTCATTACTATGTCTGATTTTTACTCGGCTTTTAAATACCCTATTACCATAAGTGGTCTTGCCAGGTCTTACTGAAATCTGGACTCTACACAATTGAAACATTACACGCTTGCACCAGTGTGTCGTGTTGTACGATCCTACTTATAGTCACAGCCAATGTGACTACATAACATCCACAAAACAGATGAAGGGTAAATATCAGAAAGCTATTATGAGCTGAAAAGGATGCCCAGGGTGCAATGCAGAGTGCAGATGAGGATATCTGAGTGGGTAGGAACATGACTTACCAGCCTGAGAGCCTAGGTTTAAATCTAGCCATGGGTGTAATATTTGTATATGTGTTCCCCTCCCCCCCCCCCCCCCAAACACACGCACTGAAATTCAACCGGAATCCCTTGGGATGAAGAATGCACTGTGATGGTTAAAAGTGGAAATTAATTTCTGAAGGCAATTCTTTTACTGGCGGTGGGTGTACATACTTTAGGGATTAGTGGTGTGAATGGGTGCGCTAGGTGTGCATGCTGTTGGGATTAATGGTGTGTGAATGGCCACAACCACAGGGGTGGACTATATAGGGTAAGCCCAGAGCGAGTGAAGTCGGGCCTCGCCAAGCAACCATGGAGTGCCGGCAGCAACAGAAAGAGGAATTGGTAAAATAGACTGTCTCCACCTGTAGCTACAGAGGGGAAAAGAGAGCCATGAAGTTCGCTATCCCAAGAATTTGGCAGGAACCCGGTGACCACTCAAGCAACTGCTACTTCTGCATGATGGACCCTTCCAAACGTCAGACTGGCAAGAATGCACCTGCTATCACGTATCCGAACCTTCCTTCATCCATCGCCCGGTGCCACACTGCCATGAGCTCCCTGTACCCACTCCCGCGGAGAGAGAGCAGCCGTCTTTAGAAGAGAGCAGCAAGTCAGAGAGCGAGGAAGACGTAGATCCAGATGACAATTTTAGAGGTGGAGCTGAGGAGAGAAACCCATACTTCCCCAACCAAAAAGACCTCAAAGACTTAATCAGAGATCTTGGTCTCACCAAGTCCAATGCCAAGATTTTGATGTCCAGGCTCAAGCAGTGGAACTTGTTGGATGGAAGTGTGCAAGTCGCAGATCAGAGGAAGCGTCACCAACCTTTTTGCAGCTTCTTCACCCATCAAGATGGGCTCTGCTTCTGCCACAATGTGACCAGTCTGTTCGAGGCAATCGGAATCGCCTGTCATGAGAATGAGTGGTGCCTCTTCATTGACAGCTCATCCAGGCGCCTCAAAGCTGTGCTGCTCCATCATCATAACAAGTACCCGTCTCTACCCCTGGCTCACTCGGTGCACCTCAAAGAGGATTACAACAGCATCAAGACCTTGCTGGATGCCTTGAAGTATGATGGGAAGTCATCGGAGACTTCAAAATGGTGGCATTCCTGATGGGTCTCCAAGGCGGTTTTTACCAAGTTTCCCTGCTATCTTTGCCTTTGGGACAGCAAGGACACCAAGGCGCACTACCACAGGCGGGACTGGCCACAGCGGACCAAGTTATCTGTGGGGAGGAACAACGTCAAGTTGGAGCCACTGGTGGACCCCTGGAAGATGCTGATGCCACCACTGCACATCAAATTGGGCCTTATGAAACAATTTGTCAGAGCTGTAGATAAGGAGTCGGCAGCCTTCAAGTACCTTCAAGACTTCTTCCCTGAGCTGTCTGAGGCAAAGGTCAAAGCCGGTGTCTTCGTCAGACCACAGATAAAGAAGATCTTGGAGTGCAATGAATTCCCCAAGAAGCTCACTAGTAAGGAGAAAGCAGCTTGGAACAGCTTTGTCGCAGTGGTTAGTGGCTTCCTGAGCAATCACAAAGTTGAAAACTACGTGGAGCTGGTTGAGACTGGTGAAGAACTACGGCACAATGGGCTGTAGGATGTCCCTCAAAGTCCATATCCTTGATGCTAATCTTGATAAATTCGAGGAGAACATGGGAGTGTACTCGGAGAAGCAAGGCGAGTGCTTCCACCAGGATATACTGGACTTTGAACGCTGCTATCAAGGACAGTATAATGAGAACATGATGGGAGACTACATTTGGGGGCTGATTCGTGAAAGTGATTTACAGTATAATCGTAAATTTCGAAAAACTACTCACTTCTAAATCTTCTATGGTCATATTTGTATTACTTTAGTATAAATACATCTTAATTTTGACTTTATGTTAACGAAAATACATAATTTCACCCGTTTTCTCATTGAAAATAGGTACATTTCTAAATATCACTGTCCTGGTCACAAAAGCAAAGTTTGTGGGGTATAATAGCCATTTTCTATACTTTTTAGGCATAGGCAATTAGGAAATAACACTTACTACCCAGGAACAAAAATTGTCTTACAGTGATATAACTGGGAATGGGGTTTGGGCTATGCAAATCCGACTGTGGGCCCCCCCATCCTTTCTCCTGACTCACTTTTACTAAAATAAACCTTATTCTTTGGTTCTTTCGGTAAAGTCACGTAGAATGAGAATAAAATAATAAATTAATAAAATAAAATAACACAATAAAATTCTCACGACGTTTCGGCCACAACACAAGTGGCCTTCTTCAGTTGTGTTATTTTATTTTATTAATTTATTATTTTATTCTCATTCTACGTGACTTTACCGAAAGAACCAAAGAAGATGAATCCTTGCAGTCACGAAAGCTTTAAATCGAAATTTAAATTAACCTTATTGCGGGACCCTGGGGTCCCGAATAAAAAGAAGTCAAAATCGTAATACATTTTTTTGGCGACTCCATCCCACCATGCACATAAACGCCGCGACCCACCTGGCGCGGATCATAATGTTGTCATGTCGTCCAAGCGCAGCAGCGAGGACGAATGCACAGAAGAAAAAAAACTTTGATTAGCGCATCGTGTAGAGCTCGTCGAGAGGAATAGATTGCCGTATGGATCGCCTTCAACAGACATAATATGAATGTCGCAACACAGTTCATGCGAAAGCCGGGGGGCTTATGGGACCCCGGGGTCCTGCCATAAGGTTCAAATAGTTACAGATATTTTTAACCCATATACAATAATGTTAGTCTATAACTATATATATTTTTAGTTGCACTGTTTATTGGATTTAGAGGAAGACCGTCTCCCACTAACAGTATTAATAATAAATGTAAAGGTACCATACTCACAATTAAGAGATCATGCGTCTTGCTTTCATGCCGGCCCCATCGCTCTTGGGTTACCTCAAAGGGGGTGGATCGCGCAACTTTCTGCTGCTCTATTGATACGACAGCCAGATCCGTTAGTCGGGCTTGGTCCATGGTAGACCGCAGGTTATTTTCAATGAATATTTTTTCTTGAGTTTTCTTTTACATGCTGTTACTTGTTTATCTGTCGATTCGGGGCCCCCTTGTGGACGACTCGGCTCCTATGTGTCGCATAACGCTGCCACACACCCCCAACCATCGCAGCGCCCCTGACTGTTATATTTCCCCTGACGGTCCGATGGTGGGTCTGTACCCCAACTATAATTACCCCTACCTATCACCCTTCAACCCCTCCCCAACGCCACTCATGTATCTCCATAAGTACTATGTGTGTAACCACGATGTATTTAACCACCATAGCATGTTCATTTTGTGACGCTTTACATTATTACATGACATTTAAAAGTATATATTTTTTCCATTTTCAACAAATTAGATATGGTTTCATTAGCTGACTTAGTCTGGATAAATGTGAAATTTGGCAAACCGGAGTTTTACTTTGGGCCCACAAGTGAACATAAAAGGATAATTGTTAGGTTCAAGGGCACTGTGCGTGTGTTTGGCGTCAGTGGTTGTCCCGTGGATAGAGCCTGGGCTCAGGGCTGTAAACGGGATATCAAGCAGCAACCACCCTCTACTCATTTTGATCAAGTAATTTATTTTGACTTTCGATTCAAAATAAAAACACATTGGCAGATGCAAATACTATTCTATCCACTGGTGATGATTCACACAACGGTATAATGCCACACAAAGGGGGTTGTTCACTATTCTATTGATCCCAGTGGGATGATAAGCTGAGTCAACCGCCCCCCAACCCGAATGAGCAGTGAGGAGGCATTTGGTGCTCATCTCTTTACAGCTCTGAGCCAGTGGTGAAAGTTTCACACTCCCATGATGGTTGGCAAGTGTATCCGCACAGGACAAACCACTTGACGTTCTTTGAAATTGCCTAACTTTCTAACTTTGACGAAATATTGAACCATGGCTATCTTAGAAAATTATGAATTTCTCGTATATCGGGGTAATAGGCAAGGCTAATATTGTAACGGTTTGGTATCATTTAGGCTAAAAGAAGACAGCTACACATGTCAAGACCCGTTCGAGACTGAGCGTGGACAGCTGCTGGTGCTGGGCTCTAACTGCTCGCTGTGTCAACGTGTTGTATGCACGAGCCAGGTAAACGCTCTCCACTCGCGAATGCCAGGCGCGTTCGCTTCTCACTCCGGGACAAATGGAGGGTTTGATCTGAACAGGCGCACTCATTACGTCTGCTTTATTTTATTACCTCTGCTTTATTTTATTCCTTCTATTCTTCAACTTGGATGCTAATTATTGCATTGTTTTGTATTTGCAGGTCGGGACTTCCATTTTATACTGAATTTTGTCCACTGCCATTCATGCATGCAGCCAAATGTTTTTTTTTTTCAAATTGGCTAGAAATATATTATGGGGCCGAGGACATTTGGCAAAAGATCATATTGTGCAGTGTAAACGATCCATGGTAGTGCTCAATGTGATGCCATTTGTGCCAAGAAGGCCTGGTATGCAGAAATAGCATTATCTTCCATGATGGTTGTGTTTAACAGGACCCATATCTCACAGAGCGGGCTCTTGCCGATAAATATCTGCCAGTTCGGCAGCATGCGTTCAAGCAAGTCTAAATGCTGATAAAACACTGAATGTCAAAACCAGTCCCGAGTTTACATGTGATGAGCCAATGCTGCTGAAATTATTCACTCTTATAAGGCTGTGTGGCTAATGAATGTTTTACATATGTGTATAATGTTGAGGGATAGATATATAAATGTGTATTAAGTAAGAACATTTGTTATTGCGCACTCCTATGAGTCCAGTCCATCACGAATGCACATTGATCACACCTTGAAGTAGCCTATCTGAAACAACAACTGTTTTGAGTATGTTGCAGAACTGGCTCAGACTCAGGCTGGGTGTATTGCACGAGATTTATATGCAGGTACAGCAGGTCGCCGCGCGATGCGGATTGTAGTCGGAGTCGATTTGGGTCTGTTGAAGCTGGTACGCACTGATTGGTGAGATAGGATGGAGCAGATTTACATAGACTCTTGATGACGAGTAGGCATAATGTATACACAATCCTGTATTTAATAGGTAACCAGTGCAGCTTATCACATACCAAGCTCGTGATCGGATCATATTTCTGTTTCCTAACTATCAGACGAGCTGCAGCATTTGACACCGACTGGAGTGGCTGCAGGTGAACAGCGCTGGCACAGCCGAAGATGCTGTTGCAGTCGTCAATGCAGCTGATGATAAATGCATGAACGAGCATATTAACAGTCTCCACAGTCAGAGTACGACGGACTCTGCGCATTTGTCGAAGCTGGTAGAAGCATCATCCTGTCAGGCACCTGGTGTCAGTGGCGAATGTCAGTTCGCTGTTGACAAGGACACCAAGGCATGTTGCCTTATCTGACACTGGGATGTCACAGCCATCTATGTAGATAGACTCACAGTTGACTCTAGCAAGCTGATGGTGGGTCCCAAGTATGATGAATTTAGTCTTATTTCAGTTTAGTTTCAGAAGGTTTGATGTCATCCAGTCCTTTATGTCGTTGATCCACAATATGAGGCATGGAACGTGTGAGACACATGAGTCAGCTTTCGTATGGAAGTAAAGTTGTGTGTTGTTGGCATATGAATGCACGCCGATACTATGACGACGGACGATGCCGATGACATCAGAGTGGTTTAAAATAGGAAGAGCACCGGGCCAAGTACACTTCCGCTGGCACACCGCACATCATTGATGACCTGTGTGACAAGTTACCGGCAAAGCTGACCCTTTGTGTCCGACCTGTAATGAAGGACTCAATCCATGAAAGCACGGTACCTTGTATACCATAAGCAATTTGAAGGCGGCTGACTAAGATGTTATGATCAACCGTGTCAAACGCAGCAGACAGGTCTAGTAAGCAGAGTAGCGTGACTTCACCACGGTCAGCTGCCATGTGTGCGTCGTGGATGACCTTCAGCATTGCCGTCTCTGTTGAGTTAACCATGCCGTTATTCTCTAGATAGGCTGACGAAATACCAGTCTTTTGACTATTTTCGACATGAATGTCAAATTTGAAATTGGCCTGTAGTTATTTTTGTCAGTTATATTTTTATTGTTTGCCTATTTTCATGCTATAATGGGGAAGTTGTTGTGAATACTGTGTGGATTGTTTGAGCTGTGTACCATTTTGTAACATGTTGTATCTGTATGCAGGGCTGCAGTCTTTTCTACACGAGGCGGTTTTGCTTGGAGTGCATTAAACAACACATCTCTGAATTTCCGGCTGAGATCCAGTTAGAACTGAAAAAGCGAGGAGTTTTATCTTGATTCTGGCACATAATATAAAAATGGGTGCATTATCGAGTTGTCTTTATTTGAAGCAACATGTGACCAAATGCACAACTGATTACCGCTTAATTGACCCAGCAAAACAAAAATACAATATATGAACAGTTGCTGAGCACAGGCAAAAGGGCCAAAACATCAAGTGCCCAGCAACAAACAGCACCATCAAAGTTATAATCAGTAAGAGTTAGTATGCCTCTGAAATTGAGCTAAATTATTATACGAGCTTGGGAAAGGAGGCAATTCCAGATGAGTGTTATGGAAGAAGCTAAATAAGTTAATGTGACGAGTACGGTTTCACAGTCAATGATTCCGCAATGGTTTTTTGGGTTTGGTCACAATTATCTGGCCCAATATATTTTGGTAACACCCTTCACCACACAACACATGCTTGTAAATGTGCATATTTTATTTATTTGGCTGTTGGGCAGTAATAGGGTCTTAAACACATACATTTCAGCAGATTGTTCCACAGCCTAACCCAAAAATCTTAAGAATCCTAACAAGTGATTGTGACCTGCAAGTGTTGTGGTTCAATAACATATGGATAAGATAAAGCAATCGTCGTGGCATATACGGCAGCAATGTCCCGGTTTTGCGTTGGGGATGCGTTCCTGAGAGGAACAATGACGTACATCAGTTATTGTTCTTGTAAGAATTCACGGGGATGTGTTCCTAATATTGCCACTTCACCTATTGTTTAACTTTTTACCTGTGATATCTTTTTGTTTTTGGTTAATGACAGTTATATTCAAATACACTTGTGAATAACATTCTAATTCCCAAGACATTTAAATAAAAAATTCACAACATATTTTACAGTTTGAATTTTTCTTACCTTTGGTACTGGGCTGGCTTCGCGTGCTGGATCGGTGGCGGCGAGGTGGAGGAACAACAACCGCCTTTCGCCACTAAGTGGTGGTAACGTCATCACGGCACTTGTGCCAGGCTATGTGCACTTTAAGGCCACGTGAAATGTCTAACGTCCGACACTTCACAAAGGGAAGCATTGTTAAACTCATAAATATTGTATATTTGCATGTAACAATGAAAAAATACTGTAGTTAAATAAAACGTCAATATATATTTTTTAAATCTGCACTTACCTTGAGTCCTGATGCTGGCTTGGTTGTTGGAAGGGGGGCAATGAGTCGCCACAGTTGCACACACGGAGGCACTCGCACCAGTACCCACCATTCACCACTAAGTGACAGTAACGTCACCACGATGCCTGTGCCAGGCCAGGTGCACTTTAAGGCCACGTGAATTATTGAAGGCTCGCTGGCAGGAGGTCACGGGACAGACCCAGGTGCAATGGGTTGCCTGAGATGACTAGCAAATGTACCAACTATACCCCCTACTGTGCCAACTTGCTGCGTTATAGCCGCCCAGCGCTCCGCTCGCTATTGTTGTTGGAGGGCGACTGTCTCCAACTGCCCAGTAGCATCATTCACGAGCCTCCTCCACGCAGGCCGATCTTGACACTGCTGGTATCAGTCTTTGCCAAGTCAACTCAACGCCACATCCTCCTGTACCGAATCAGTTAATCTCTTGTCCAGCCAATGTCGTGCCCATTTTTAGCCCCCGCTATGTGGCCAAACAGAAGCTGCTTGGGCATGCGGTGGCTGGGCATGCGGGCTACATGACCCAGCCAACGCAGCCTTGCCTGCCGGAGGAGCTCACTAATGCCAATGTGTCCAGATTTTCAAGGATTGGTGAGCTCCTCACGCAATGCAGCCTGGTTAAACCCAGGATGGATCGTAGGCATGCCACAAGCATAGAGAAGAGAGGGCATGACTGTAGCCGAGAAGACCCGAGGCTTCGTGTGGAGCAACAGACCAGGTAGCTGCCACACAGCATTGCGCAGCCGATGAAAAGATAATGCTGCCCGATTCGGAGTGAGAACTTTTGCTCTCAAACTGGAGCTGGTCAATATGCACACTGCCCAAGTATGGGAAACTCTCCACAACTGCTCCATCACCAATGGGGAACTGAGGGAGTGGAGTGATTGGTGGCACAAAATACTCAGGCAGGTGCTTAGTTTTGGTGGGGCTGATGGTAAGACCCCACCTCTTAGTGGCTATACTCCAGGTTCAGCAGCAGCACCTCCAACTCCTGCTCTGAGTGAGCAGCAATCACCAGATCATCAGCATACGTAACATGGTTGACGAATAGGGAGCCATCCCTCGACCGCACCCGGGCATCGATCAGCCTCCCGTTGAATATGTACCAGATGGAAATTCCTCCAGTCCAGCCATGGAAAGCTTATGATGTGGGAGCCAGAGGACATCCCTGTCGCACCCGTAGGTTAACAGAGAACGGCTCCGACTCCTGGTCATGTAGCTTTACCCAGGCCTGCCCACCATCATGAAGGCCCTTAATGATTGTAAACAGATAGTCATGGACTCCGAAAGCACAAAGATCTGCCCACAGCCTTGGCCTGTTGATGGTATCATAGGCCTTGACGAGTTCGATAAAGCAGAGATGTAGGTCTTGTTGGAATTCCCTACACCTCTGCTGTAGCAGACGGACAGAATATGGCAGACGAACAGAGAATATGGCAGACGAACAGAGAATATGGCATCCGTGCAGCACCGCCCTGGTCTGAAACCACATTGGGGCTCCACAAGGCTCTCCTCAGCATGCCTTGGGAAGGCGATGTTGAATAATCCTTACCAAGACCTTTCCAGGCACACTGAGAAGAGAGATGCCCCTATAGTTGTTAAAATCTGTGCCGGTCCACCCTCTTAAAAGAGGGGGAACACCAGGGCATCCTTCCAATTTTGCAGAACTTGTCCTGTGGTCCAGACAGTTGTGATGTCATGTAGGCAGTTTGCACACAGATGCCAATCTCCCTCAGCATTTTGCTTGGGAGATCATCTCTGCCCGGCCCTTTTCCTGGTCTCAGACTTCCTCCAAAGACGGCACCTCAGCCAACCATTCAGAAGGGGTGGCTGCCTCTGCTGATATTTGAGGCACAGCAGACCTAGCCGGGGTCGTCCCCACCTTGCCCCATGATATTGTCTGAGGGAATTCCCCTCCCCTAAGACCTCACAAAAATGCTCTGCAAACCTGCAGACCTGTTCCTGGGGGTCGGAGAATGGATTACCGTTCTTTCTCTTCAGGATGGTGTTCGGTGAGGTGCTGCAAGTATTTTTTTATGGAATTAAATAGTGATTTGTGATTGCGGGCTACCGAAGTAGATTTCATCTCCCCAGCAACCCGCCCCCACCAGTCATCATTGCAGCGACGCGGGGCTCTCCAAATATCCAAGCAAAGGCTGCGGTAAGCCCACCATGGTGGAAACACGCACACAGACACCAACGACAATGATCCCCGTATGGTCGTAACAGCCTGTGGGGGCAAGTTGCTGTTAGCGAGCAGCGCCAAGGAAGGCCGGCACAGCACACAAGGGAGTGGCTAGCACAGACATGGGCAAAGTACGGCCCCCGGGCCGTATACGGCCCTTTGGGTTTTTTAATCCGGCCCGCCGAGCTTGTCCAAATATTATTATTAAATAAAATTTTACCTTTCTCCTGTAATGCCCCCATTCCCCATTAGATGGCGCACTTTGATCGGGAGTGTGGTGTATAGGGCTCGAAAGGGCACATGATCTCGCAATGCATTATGGGCCATCAGCGCCATTTTCAGGGTTTGTTTACATTGCTGAGTTAGATACGGTGCTTCCTTCACTTTTTCGCTTTGCCCTGTGAGCCCTTCTTGTAAAATGAGCGGATCAAGGTAACGAAAAGTGGACAATGAGTGCCAATGTTTAACAGGGAGTGGACAACAAAATACTATTTCACTGAAGTCCAATCGAAGGCTGTATGCCTGATATGCCGAGAAACTGTCGCAGTTTTCAAGGAGTACAACATCAGCCGTCACTTTGCTACGAAGCATGCTAACTACGCTAGCAAGCAGTCAACGCAAGAACAGGCGGCTACGGCTCAGAGGTTGGCAGCTAACTTACAGACTCAGCAACATTTTTTTCACCGACAAACTGCGATTCAAGAGTCAACTACCAAGGCAAGTTTTTTGGTGGCATTCGAAATAGCAAAGGCTAGCAAGCCTTTCTCCGAAGGCGAGTTTGTAAAAGAATGCATGGTACAGTCAGCAGACACCTTGTGTCCGGAGATCAAAAGCAAATTTGAAAAAGTCAGTTTATCACGCAGGACTGTGACTCGCCGTGTGGAACTTATTGATGAAAATATAGCCAGCCAATTACACAAAAAGTCTGATTCCTTTGAGTTATATTCACTAGCACTGGATGAAAGTACGGACGTAAAAGACACTGCTCAGCTCCTCATTTTTAGCCGAGGCATTGACGACAGTTTTGCGATAACAGAGGAGTTTTTGACCATGGAGTCCCTGAAAGGAACAACGCGGGGAGAGGACTTGTATAACCAGGTGTCTGCTGTCATCGAAAGAATGAAGCTACCTTGGAGTAAACTTGTCAATGTCACAACGGATGGATCGCCAAATTTAACTGGAAAAATGTTGGGCTGCTGAAAAGAATCCAGAATAAAGTGAAAGAGGAAAATCCTGACCAGGATCTTATTTTCCTTCACTGCATCATCCATCAAGAATCCCTGTGTAAGTCTGTATTGCAGCTTAATCATGTCGTGAATCCAGCGTAAAACTTGTTAACTTTATACGAGCAAGGGGACTTCAGCACCGTCAGTTTATTACATTCCTGGAGAAAACTGATGCGGATCATTAGAACTTGCTGTGCCACTCCCGTGTCCGCTGGTTAAGTTTGGGGAAAGTGTTACGAGTGTGGGAGCTGAAAGAGGACATCATCGCATTTTTGGAGTTGATGGGGAAATCTGACGAATTCCCTGAGCTAAGCGAGAAGACCTGGCTTAGTGACTTTGCGTTTGCTGTGGACATTTTCACACATGAATTAGTTGAATGTGAAACTGTAGGGGAAAGATCAGTTTGTTCACGACATGTACAAACCTGTGAAAGCCTTCAAATCCAAGCTCACTTTGTTCTCCAGATAAATTGCGAACAAATCTTTTGCTCATTTCCCCACACTTGCCATGCAGGAAGAGGCACCGCGAAACGCAAAAAAATACAGCAAATCACTTGACGACCTGCATGGAGAATTCTGCCGTAGGTTCTCAGATTTCGAAAACATTGAACAGTCACTTCAGCTGGTGTCTTGTCCCCTGTCACAAGACTCTGAAACAGCACCACAGGAGCTGCAGTTGGAACTGAATGATCTTCAGTCTGACTCCATCCTAAAGGAGAAGTTCAACTCTGTTAAACTGAATGACTTTTATGCTTCACTTAACAGAGCCACGTTTCCAAACCTCCGGAGGACTGCACAGAAGATGCTGACTTTGTTTGGCTCAACTTATGTGTGTGAGCAGACATTCAGCGTCATGAACGCCAACAAAGCCCGTCACAGATCAAAGTTAATGGATCAGCACCTCAGATCTATCCTGAGAATTGCCACAACCAAAATAACTCCAGACTTGGATGCACTGACAAAAATGGGAGATCAACACTGTTCCCACTGAAACTGAAAGTGATGTGTTGCTGCAGCGAGGTTGGAGCCAAATCTCCGACACACAGCCTGCGTGGCTGCTCTAACCTGTTAATGTAGAAAATAAAGAAGTTCAGGTGAGGTAATTGGTTTGGGCGCAGGCCTCAGATGTTTGATCAGTCACGTTACGACATGTTTTTGTATTGTTCATGTTCGTGCAATTTGTTAAATTGCCTTGCAAACAAATGCTTTGCTACCTGTTAAAGACCAAATCCTTTAATGTAATGATTTTTACATGTCATTTATATTAGTTCACACAAACACTTCATCCATCTGTTCCCGGCCCGGCCCCTCTGTCAAATTTTAGAACCCACTGTGGCCCGCGAGTCAAAAAATTTGCCCACCCCTGGGCTAGCACCTCTCCTGGCTGCCTTTGTCTCTCCAGAGGCAATGTTTGTACAACCACACCAGGTTCTAATTTGAGGCTGAGTCGACCTAGGGGAGGCCAGTGACCGGTTCAAATTAGTCATCACTGGTGTTGGCCATGAGCGGGAATCAAACTCGGGTCGCCACTTTCATAGCGCAGCACGCTAACTGCGACACTACCACTCCCCACTCACACACTCTCACCCACACACACTCACTTTAACACACACACACATCCATCAGGACTAACACGCACAGTCATTCCCAACGCGAGGCTGACTCATTACAACTCGTAGAGGATCGCTCCGCTGAAAATTCGCGGTGCAGTTTGCAAGTTCGCGTTTTAAGTAAACGTGAAAATATATATTTCATGGAAGCTGGTTCGCAAGTGCGTGTGTTCGTAAGTCAAGGACTGCCTATACTCAACATTATTGTACAGGGTACAATAATATAGAGTACACGAAATCACCAAAAATATTTTACGTGAATATACTGAACTCTACAGTACTGTACACATTTATGCGCGACGCAAAGTAGTTTGTGTACAGGGTAGGTGGAGACGAAGGTTGTGGTGCCGGATACGAGAAAGGACGGACGATGCTGTTAGCGACGTAAGTGTGGGTCGAGGCGACCTAAATCAGGTAGAGGTATTATTAATAAAGTGACGTGTTTGCAAAGCGACATAACAAGGGGAAAACGTACAGTGAGGGAAAAAAGTATTTGATCCCCTGCTGATTTTGCACGTTTGCCCACTGACAACGAAATGATCAGTCTATAATTTTAATAGTAGGTTTATTTGAACAGTGAAAGATAGAATAACAACAAAATCCAGAAAAACGCATGTCAAAATTTTTATAAATTGATTTGCATTTTAATGAAGGAAATAAGTATTTGACCCCCTCTCAATCAGAAAGATTTCTGGCTCCCAGGTGTCTTTATACAGGTAACGAGCTGAGATTAGGAGCAAACTCTTAAAGGGAGCGCTCCTAATCTCAGCTTGTTACCTCTATAAAAGACACCTGTCCACAGAAGCAATCAATCAATTAGATTCCAAACTCTCCACCATGGCCAAGACCAAAGAGCTCTCCAAGGATGTCAGGGACAAGATTGTAGACCTACACAAGGCTGGAATGGGCTACAAGACCATTGCCAAGCATCTTGGTGAGAAGGTGACAACAGTTGGTGCGATTATTGGCAAATGGAAGAAACACAAAAGACCTGTCAATGTCCTTCGGCCTGGGGCTCCATGCAAGATCTCACCTCGTGGAGTTGCAATAATCATGAGAACGGTGAGGAATCAGCCCAGCACTACACGGGAGGATCTTATCAATGATCTCAAGGCAGCTGGGACCATAGTCACCAAGAAAACAATTAGTAACACACTACGCCGTGAAGGACTGAAATCCTGCAGCGCCCGCAAGGTCCCCCTGCTCAAGAAAGCACATATACATGCCCGTCTGAAGTTTGCCAATTAACATCTGAATGATTCAGAGGACAACTGGGTGAAAGTGTTGTGGTCAGATGAGACCAAAATGGAGCTCTTTGGCACCAACTCAACTCGCAGTGTTTAGAGGAGGAGGAATGCTGCCTATGACCCCAAGAACACTATCCCCACCGTCAAACATGGAGGTGGAAACATTATGCTTTAAGGGTGTTTTTCTAAGGGGACAGAACAACTTCACCGCATCAAAGGGACGATGGACGGGGCCATGTACCGTCAAATCTTGGGTGAGAACCTCCTTCCCTCAGCCAGGGCATTGAAAATGGGTCGTGGATGGGTATTCCAGCATGACAATGACCCAAAACACACGGCCAAGGCAACAAAGGAGTGGCTCAAGAAGAAGCACATTAAGGTCCTGGAGTGGCCTAGCCAGTCTCCAGACCTTAATCCCATAGAAAATCTGTGGAGGGAGCTGAAGGTTCGAGTTGCCAAACGTCAGCCTCGAAACCTTAATGACTTGGAGAAGATTTGCAAAGAGGAGTGGGGCAAAATCCCTCCTGAGATGTGTGCAAACCTGGTGGCCAATAACAAGAAACGTCTGACCTCTGTGATTGACAAGGGTTTTGCCACCAAGTACTAAGTCATGTTTTGCAGAGGGGTGAAATACTTATTTCCCTCGTTAAAATGCAAATCAATTTATAACATTTTTGACATGCGTTTTTCTGGATTTTGTTGTTATTCTGTCTCACTGTTCAAATAAACCTACCATTAAAATTATAGACTGATCATTTCTTTGTCAGTGGGCAAACGTACAAAATTAGCAGGGGATCAAATACTTTTTTCCCTCACTGTACATCAGGCTCATCATTGCTCTCGTCTGTTGGAGCGTGGCATATTTAATGTCCTGCTCACATATCTGTTACTGGAAGTCTTGTGGTGCGAGAAAAAAAATCTAAACTCGTCGAACCCCTAAAGTATTGGTGTACTGCCCGTGATGTGCCCCATGCTGTACCCCATTGCTATTCCCCGTGCTATAGCCCGTGGTGTTCCCTGTCCTCTACCCCATGCTGTACCCCGTACTGTGCCACACAGAAAAGGTGGTGGTGGCCGTGAAGTGGGAGCTGCTGTGCCACAAAGTGGACCTCGTCACGGCTCGGCAGTTGACCGTAATCAGCAAAACTACCCCGCAGAGCGCGCAGAGCGGAACCGGGCACTCACTCACCACCCACTCATCAGAATCTTTTAGACTGGAGGAATCTGATGAGCTGTGAAGCTCTTTTTATACAATTGTCCACGAGGGGGCGGGTCAGCAAGTTACAACATAGAAAAAGGTAAGAACAAAAAAAAGACTGCCTTGACATCCAGCAGTTGATTGAAGGCTGATGATCCAAAGTGCTGTGGAGGCAGCAGTGAGGGTTGGTGGATCACACACAGATGGGCTGTGAAACTCCATCCCTACCCATAGGTGGGCATCGAGGAGCCGTACCCAGAAGGTGCTACAGCAAAGTGTGGACCAATCTCCATCTTTTCCTTATGTATGGGATAGTGTTGCCACCTCGCTCGCACACGCCTTGGTTCTCTGGTGCTCCTGTTTCGTTGGCTGAAAACGACTTTATAGAGGACTGCAGAGCTTAGGCAATTGCTGGTAATACCGGCTCCTTACCGCCTGGCTGCTGCTGTCTGTGGTTCTCCAACGATTGCGATGACGCAGTTTAGAAAACGATGTTATGTGCAAGTGTGTGCGCAGTGGGGAGTGGTAGCGCAGCAATTAGTGCGCTGTGCTACGAACCCGGCACCCGGGTTCAATTCCCGCTCACGGCAAACACCAGCCTCAAATTAGTACCTGGTGCAATGAATAAACGCCACCAGGGAGAAAACAACAGCCGGGCGGTGTTGGCCACCCATCCTCTCTTGTGTCATACCGGCCTTCATAGGTGCTTGCTAACAGCACTTGTCCTAGTCTGTTAAGGCTATACGGGGGTGTTTGTATTTGCAATGATTAGCACGTTGCATTACGAACCCAGTAAACCGAGTTTGATTCGGGCTCACAGCCACCAACACCAGTGCGGATCATCTAAACCGGTCCTGGGCCTCCCCTAGGTCGACTCAGCCTCAAATTACCAACTGGTGCAGTGTGCAAACATCAGCACTGGGGAGAAAGGCGGCCGGGCGTGGTTCTGGCCATTCAACGCCTCGTGTACCGTTGCAGCCTTCATCAGTGATCGCTAAGAGCACTTGCCCCTGCAGTCTGTTAAGGCTACATGGGGGGTCTTTGCCTTCACTGCCCGCACTTCCTCCTTCTGCACGTTGGATGCTGGGTCAAGTCTGCTGACGAGTCCCACTGCGGTATCGGTGATGTTTGGATGAGATAGAATTGGTTTGTCGATCCAGGCCAAAAAAGTTCTGGGTATAGCCTCCAATTCTCCAACGAAGAGGAGAGGCATGCTTGACCAGACTGCTCCGCTTGCTCAGAGTCCCACAAGAGCTGGGCTGGCAAACAACCAGGCAGAAGTCACTATCACCATCGCACGTTGTTGCTGCTGCTGTTGTTGCTATTGCTGCGGCTGTCTTTGCTCCTGTTATTGTTGAGACTCGTAGACAAATTGACGACCACAGCGGCGACCCACAGACGAACAGAAACCCAAGTACACGCAGAGACCCTTAAACATGCTCAGAAACCCGAGGGTTTGGGTGTCTTTGAAATATTGCATAAAACCTAATTTAAGTGTTGGAAAAAGCCGAAAATGTAATATAGGAAAATGTAATTCAAGTAAATGCAGCTAAAATCATTTTAATAACAGCAAACCGAAAGGTACAGCTACACGGGGAAGCCATTTTCATAATTCAGAAAATCCTCGCTTAGCGTGTGGTGTTCAAACAACTTGTTTTTACAAGCACGTGGTTCTTCCATTCGGGACCACTTTTGCACAACACGGAATGCGCACTGTTGCAATGTAGTTTCTGAGCAGTGGACAACAAACTACTTTCTTAAGCTGCGCAGCCGAGCGGTAGTGATACAGTAATGCAGAATAATACAGTAACGCAGTGGCAGAGTACCCTCAGTTATTTGTCCCACCATGTGTGGTGTGCGTAGTACCACGTATATTGCCAAACGTTATCCTTACTACTTATAGGGAAAATGTTTTCGCTTAATGCAATTTTTGCTTACGCTGCACTATCCAAAGCTTAATACTGTATGAACCTTATGGTGGGACCCTGGGGGCTCTCGCATAAACTGCGTTGCGACGTCCTTTTATGTCTGTTGAAGGCGAACCATACGGCAATCTATTCCTCTCGACGAGCTTTACACGATGCGCCAATCAAAGTTTCAAAGCTTTGTTTCTTCTGCGCATTCGTCCTCACTGCGCTTGGGTGACATAACAGAATGATCCGCGCCAGATGGGTTGAAGCGTGTGTGCACGGAGGAACGGAGTCGCCAATAAAATAATTACGATTTTACTTCCGTTTATTTGGGATCCTGGGGTCCTGCCATAAGGTTCATATATACTCAAACACGCTTTATACATAACCAACAATTTGTAATGCTAATTATCAAGAAAGGCACCCCTACTACTTTTCAAATCAACAATATTTCACAACTGCACGGCAATAATATAAGTACTGAAAGCTCATCTCGAGCTGGATGATGCCTACAGCTGCATGCAATCTTGTAGTGAGAGAAGCCTGTGAATAAAATGAACACTGTGGAGATTCTCTCTCACCTTCCGAGTTTCACATTTTACCAGACTCCATTTCACACGTGCTGATCCCTCGTATTTACATTGTCCATAAATTCCACCCACACCTCCACAAACTCAAAGGATCGCCTCACCCTCCCCGTCAAGAGCTCGAATTCACCTGCTTCAAGCTGCCACCATCCACCTGGAGGTCGGGCCCTAGAGTCAATGAGGACAAGGTGCACTAGAAGGGCTTCTCACCAGTGTGTGTTGTCCGATGGCTCTTTAGATATGATGATCGTGAAAATGCCTTCCCACACACAGTGCACTTAAAGGGCTTCTCACCTGTGTGTGTTCTCTGGTGAATATGAAGAGATTCTCATTCTTTAAATGCCTTCTCACACAGTGCATTTGAAGAGTTTTTCACCAGTGTGTGTTTTCTGATGGCTGTTAAGATTCGATAACCATGTGAATGTATTCCCACACAGCGCACTTGAAGGGCTTCTCCGCCTGTGTGTGTCCTCTGGTGTATTTTAAGATATGAAACTTCTTAGGTGGTTATAAAACTCTGGAGCAACTACATTAAATGAAAACTCATCTCTGGCTGGATGATGCCTACAGCTGCATGCAACCTTGTAATGAGAGAAGCCTGTGAATAAGGCGAACGCTTTGGATATTCTTTCTATTACGTTCCTTGTTACAGAACTCCACAGAATCTGCTTCACATGTGCCTCCTACTTTGCTCGGTCCAAAATCTTCACCCACAATTCCTCCACAAACTCATGGAGGTTCCCTCGCTCTCCCTCAGAGTCTGAATGCTTCTCCTGTTTCACGTTGCCTCCATCCACCTGGAGGTCAGGTCCTAGAGTCGAATCTTCATCTTCAAATTTCACCTTCACTTCTTCACATTCTATCTTTACTTTTTCACATTCCACCTTAGCTTCTTCAAATTCCACCTTCACACCTGGCCATGTTTCAAAACTGGGGTTTGCTTCTGGTTCTTGTTCTATACGAGATGTCCTCAATGTAGCACTTTGTCTTTCACTTCTTAATTCTACCGTCTCCTTGTGGATCTTCTCATGCGCCTTTCGGGCTTGTGACCGTGCAAATGCCTTCCCACACACAGTGCACTTGAAGGGCTTCTCGCCCGAATGTATAATCTGATGTTTCTGAAAAGTTCCTGACTCTGCAAATGCTTTATCACAAACAGTGCACTTGAAAGGCTTCTCGCCTGTGTGTTTTCTGTGATGAATACGAAGAGATCCTGAATCTTTAAATGCCTTCTCACACACAGTGCATTTGAAGGGCTTTTCACCAGTATGTGTTTTCTGATGTCTGTCAAGATTTGATAACCATGAAAAAGCCTTTCCACACACAGTGCACTTGAAGGGCTTCTCTCCTGTGTGTGTTCTCTGATGAATACGAAGAGATCCGGAATCTTTAAATGCCTTCTCACACACAGTGCACACAAAGGGCTTCTCGCCTGTGTGTGTTCTCTGATGATCCTGAAGAGTTCCTGACCGTGTAAATGACTTCCCACACACAGTGCACTTGAAGGGCTTCTCACCAGTGTGTGTTGTCCGATGGCTGTTTAGATATGATGACCGTGAAAATGCCTTCCCACACACAGTGCACTTGAAGGGTTTCTCACCTGTGTGTGTTCTCTGGTGAATATGAAGACATCCTGATTCTTTAAATGCCTTCTCACACACAGTGCATTTGAAGGGTTTTTCACCAGTGTGTGTTTTCAGATGGCTGTCAAGGTGTGATGACCGTGTAAATGCCTTCCCACACACAGTGCAATTGAAGGGCTTCTCACCAGTGTGTATTTTCTGATGGCTGTCAAGGTGTGATGACTGTGTAAATGTCTTCCCACACACAGTGCACTTGAAGGGCTTCTCACCAGTGTGTGTTTTCTGATGGCTGTTAAGATTCGATAACCATGTAAATGTCTTCCCACACACAGTGCACTTGAAGGGCTTCTCACCAGTGTGCGTTTTCTGATGACTGTCAAGATTCGATAACCATGTGAATGTCTTCCCACACACAGCGCACTTGAAGGGCTTCTCGCCTGTGTGTGTTCTCTGGTGTATTTTAAGATATGGCGATTGCGCAAATGCCTTCCCACACACAGTGCACTTGAAGGGCTTTTCTCCAGTGTGAGTTCTGTAATGATTCTTCAAGTTGCTCATCTGATCCGTGCTGTATGGACACTGGATGCATTTGTGTCTTTTAATTCCAGCTTGTTCCAAGTCGCTCTGCTCCATGTGATTCATCTGCAGATATATGTACATACATATTACACACAATATACAGGCAGACCTCACTTAGTGTGACCACATACAGCGCTGATTCCTTTGTCCTGAAGATTTTTTAAATAAAATAAAAATTTAAAATCTACAAAGCAGTTACGAGTGAGGATGCGCTGCAGCGCTGGCCGAGGAAACGTTCCAACCCCCATCATTCGCTCAGACATTGAGAGCGACACCACGCTCTGAGCCAAACAAACCCCATCCCCCAAAACTCGATTATCACTATTTGTGGTCACGATCACATTTCATGTTTCTAGAGTGTGTTAAGCCAGGTGAGAACTCACGAGACTAGGACAGAGCCTAAGGCTCTACCACAGAAATTTAGACTGAGGGCAAGACTCAGATCACAGAGGTACTGGAGCTCTTCTCTGATAATGACCCGGAGTGGGAGTGCAGAAGCAGCTCCTCCAATCTCGTGCCCCATCTTTGCCTTGTAGGAGTACAGTAGAATGCACTCGTGAGTAGAATAAATAATACAGATTGATGTTATGAAATAAATTATTTATATTTACGAAATGTTTACCGTCTGCATTAGTATTAGTGCTCTTACCGATAGCCAAATGAAGCCCTCATATATTGCTCATACAAAATAAATAACGTCGTGGGAAAGGCACCTCCTGTAGTAAACTATGAAATGTGATATTGTCAATTTTCAATATCATAGTTCCTTGTAGATACATATGTGTATTCATTGCATTCCAAGAGTTGGAAAACTCAATGGGCATAAAACCAGAACAGGCTTGAGAGCTTGGAATAAGTGGCACAAACCTGTGAAGATCTTTCCTTGAGCGAACACAGACATTACCAAAAAGGCCATAAATAGGCAACCGACTGTTTTATATAAATATATTTTTATCATGCCAATTCTCCACGACCAAATATATGTCAAGGGTGTATAACCAGGGCCACACCCTGCCGCCTTTGTCTCCCCAGTGGCGAACTTTACATGCCACACTCGGTATTCATTTTAAGGCTGAGTCGACCTGGGGGGGGGAGGGCGACCAGGACCAGTTCAGATAACCGCCACTAATTATCATGAGTGAGATTCAAACTCAGCAAACCAGAGAGGCCGTTTTCACACCTAAAGACATGTGCGGAAACACACACACACCATGAGATAAACTAGGAGCCAACTTTTGAGTCGATAGACATCACAAGGGTTATTAAGTGGGTTGGTGTTCACACAAATCTTGAGATCTCCGAAAACAAGGAAGTATGGTAGAATTTATGACGTTAGGCACCTGGATGTCTGAAAAGCCAGAACCAGATATTAACTCAAGATGACCCAATGGAAGTTCGAGGACGTAACAGTGGGAGGAGGTTCGGGCTCTAACGTGGCCGAGGTAATTACTTAAATAAGGTAGAAATTACTGTATAACAATATACAGAAATTGTATAATTCACTCTTGCAAAGGTGGTGCTCACAATCAAACACATCTTTTGAGTCTTGCAAAGGCTCCGAGTAGCTAACAGTTTGATTCTTGCCAAGGCAGACTCTGAGTCTTCCTGAAAGCAGCCATATTTAACTTTTATATTCTTACTAAATTCTAAGCTTTCGTGACTGCAGGAATTATTCTTTAATTCTTTCGGTAACATCATGTAGAAAGAAATGAAATAAAATAATAATGGAATACGACGTTTCGATTGCAACACAAGCAACCATCATCAGGTACAAATGAATGAGAAAACATAGTAAACTTGGAAATAATGCAATACAACACAGAAAGTCGGCCAACAAAAGTCAACACCCCACCTGGTTGATTACGTTCCTCCAAAGATTGCTAAATTTGAGAGAGAGACAAAACATAGACACACAGACACACAAGCAGACAGAGACTCACGCAGATACAAACAGAGACACACACATAGACACACAGAAAGATAACGTCTCTGTGTCGAGGCCTTAAATAGAGAAAGGCGGAGTGGGGCAGAGGGGGAGTTGTGTGGAATTCCTGCCCAGTCTCTTGCAGAGTCAAGCACTCCGTAAAGTTATTTTGCGATATAAGTTATGTGTTCGAGGAAAATTGTTGATAAGCACCCCTGGTGGCCTTATACAGCTCTCCCTCATACAGACAGACATTGAGTAGCATGCAATTGTGTGAAGGAATTTTTTTTTTTAATCCAATACTGTACTAAGCTAAGTGGTGCCAGGAAATTGTTGGAAAAACATCCTAGTGGAGACTTGAGCTACGCACCAATAATGAGTGTGCTTGTAAACATTGTCTAAGCTATAGGCTGGAAGAGTTCTGTTTGTTGTCAAGTCAACCTGACTCACATTGTATGAAGTGTGAAGAGGCTTTTGAGTGTCAGAATATTCACATGCAGTCTCCGCCCGAAATTGTGGCTGGCCACGCCGTTGAGCTCCGAGCGTGTGCAACAGGTGCTCGCAACCAAGCCACTCTCAAAGCTGCCGGTGACCAACTTGCAGCGTGCCGAGTTAAGTGTTGCGACGTGCGACCAAGCTGCTGATGAACAGCAAGCGTCCTGGCCAGAGTGGGCACAGCATACTCAAGCTGCAAATAGAGCCTAGCGCGCAGACATCCCGCGAACGTGTGGCAGAGCAGCTGATAACCAACTGGCAGTGGTGCTGGTTCAAGAATCCCAACACTACAGCTGTGGATCGAGCAGGGTGCACAGACAACCCTGTGAACGAGCAGCAGGCAGTGTGCGCATAGAGCACTCCAGTAGTGAACCAAGCCTACCATTCAACACTCATTGTGGGACTGGAGGCATTTTCGGGTACAAAGACAGAAGATGAACACCGACACTTGCACTCACTCACCATGTAACCACACTGCTTACAGTTGGTGACGCCAACCTCGTATAAGAAGCACGCATGAATTAACTCACACCAACACCACATTTTATAATTTGTGAATTGTGTATACAACTGCAATCTTCACACACACACACTCGCTCCACATCATGCATACCATCAGGAATACTGCATTCTGAGATGTTAACTTGTTTTTTCATCACGAGATCTTGAGATTTGATCATTAATGCTTTCCTAACCATAGTATGAATTGATGAGTATATTTGAATGTGTAATGAAGTTCCACTCTGGTAAGTACAGGGTGTTTCAAAAATATGGACCCAATTTCAAAGCAGTATATTTAACGATGGCAAAATGTTACAATTACACAAAAAGTTAAACGGTTTAAGGAGTTATCAAGTTTTACTAACCATTTTATAAATGCTCTATGTGCCCTCCACCTGCTGTACGGACAATATCGAGACGATAGTTGAATTCGTCCCAAATGCCTCTCAAAGTGTCTTCTTCCACTGAAGTCACCGCTGCCGTGATTCTGTTTTTGAGGTCATCCAGATTAGTCGCTAATGGTGGCACAAAAACACGGTCTTTGACGTATCCCCACAAGAAAAAGTCGCTGGGTGTGGTGTCTGGGGATCTTGGGGGCCAAAAGTGTAGCGCAAAGTCTTGGGGTCCTGTGCGACCTATCCAACGTTGAGGCAGAGTGTCATTTAGAAAACGTCGAACCTGCAAGTGCCAACGTGGCGGTGCTCCGTCTTGCTGAAAAATGAAGTCATCAGAATCTTCATCAAGTTGTGGAAAGAGCCATTTCTGCAGCATTTCCAGATAGGCTTGACCCGCAATTGTGTTTCCCTCGAAAAAGAAAGGGCCATAAACCTTTCTTTGAGAAACAGCACAAAACACGTTCACTTTCGGGGAATTACCCTCATGCTCTGCAGTTGCGTGTGAGGTGCGTGGTCACCCTGTGCTCTTCCCCTTACAAAAACAGCCTGTTTCCTCAAATCATCGGTACCAACGATGAATGCTCTTTGACATTGGCGGATCAATGCCAAAACGCCATTGAAACGCACGCTGCATCGAAATTACGGATTCAGTCTTGCTGAACTGCAGAACGCAAAACGCCTTGTGTTGCGGGGTCGCCAGCTTGCGAATGACTGAGGCTAGGGGCTGTTTGTGTGCTGGGAGGCATCTAGTGGTAATTATTTGAAACTCTATGCCCCGCCCTTTCAAGTGGTAAGAGTTTTCATTCATGGGCGGCTCGTGGTTGCAGAGATAGTGATTTCAAATCGGGTCCATCTTTTGAAACACCCTGTATTTTTTTTGTCAACGTGTAGTGACATATGACGTCGCTACTATGTCGGGCCTGTATACACATGACGTCACTGCCATATTGGGCCGGCAGGCGTGACGTCATGGCCTGTTCGGTATGGAGGCTGTTGATGAGTGCCACGGGAGTTGTCAGGCCATGGCACTCCGAGTGACCCCAGCCGGACACGTGACAGGATCCAAGAGGAGGGCCGGGGGCCCTGGGGGACCCTGAGGGTCAGATGGTCAGGCAGTTGAGCCTTCGAGGGTTCAAGAATGGGGCTGTTGGTGCCTGGGATGAAGCTATCACATGAAGACTCGGAAAATACAAGCCTCCAGTCACCGTGGCTAAGCAGTAGCCTCCTGGCTTGGCCACGCCAAGTAGTACCGAGTGTTAGTGAGAGTAGGACGGTGGTCACCACCTTATGTATAGGGAGTCTTGTTGCTGTTGTGTTGCAGTTGTGTTAAATAAATAGAGTTGCCTCCACACGAGTGTGTGCGCCTCTGTTGGACCATTACAAATGTAAGTTCAAATTAAAATTGCTTAGATCAAAAGGGGTCTAAGTGCTTCCTTCCTAACTCATGCATCATGTTTATCAATTTCGAGAACTGTATCCTGCGGCGAGATCTGAATCTGAGACCTGACGTAACTGCCTATCTTACCTACAAGTCATTTTTTGTCTGTCTGTCTTTCTGCGCGGGTAGCTTGTGACGTTTTTAACTGACAAACTGTGGGATTTACGTATCAAAAAAGTACACGGATACCACGCGATATGCGCCGGGACAAAAAAGCGCCATTCGTATTTAACATCTGTCAAGTTTAAAGTACTGTAGTTATATTAACAATTTATTCCTTTTATAAGCACAGGGTGGCGCCAGAACACGCATCTGCGCATGTGCGAGAACGCTGGCTCGTGGTGGTGGTTGCCCGAGGAACGCACACACGCGATCAGTGGGGGTTGAGGGGAATTCTCATTTGCGTTAAAATGCAAAATACACAACGCTGAGGTAAGTTCTTCACAGTGTGATGTGCTATTCTTTCCCCCCCTCCTCACCGCAATGTGTGCACTTACTACTATAGGATCGGTAGGTACTACTATAGTCAATCTTGATTTGAAGCTTTCATGACTGCAGGAATCCATACTCTTTGGTTCTTTCGGTAAAGTCACGTAGGTAGAAAAATAAAATAATATATCACGACGTCTCGATCGCAACACAAGCAGTCATCCTCAGGCTGAAAAAAATGTATCCGGCTGGGCAATCTACGCAAGGCCGGGTCTCTGCACGGGACTAGGCCTCACCACAGCACTCTGTTAAGTTATTAGTTAGTACTATAGAGTCAATATATAATATTATAGAGTCGGTATATATGACTATTGAGTCGGTAGATACAATACCTGTAGAGTAGCTAGATACTCCTGTAGTGATAGTAGCTACTACTACAACCAGTACATTCTACTGCAGTAACAGTAGCTACTACTACAGCCAGTCGGTACTACTGCACTGACAGTAGCTACTACAGCCAGTACGTACTACTGCAGTGATAGTAACTACTATTACGGCCAGTACACACGACTGCAGTGAAAGTAGCTACTACTACAGCCAGTACATACTACTGCAGTGACAGTAGCCACTACTACAGCCAGTACGTACTACTGCAGTGACAGTAGCCACTACTACAGCCAGTAAGTACTACTGCAGTGACAGTAGCTATTACTACAGCCAGTACGTACGACTGCAGTGATAGTAGCTACTACTACAGCCAGTATGTAGGACTGCAGTGAAAGTAGCTACTACAGCCAGTACGTACTACTGCAATGATAGCAGCTACTACTACGGCCAGTACGTATGACTGAAGTGATAGTAGCTACTACTACAGCCAGTACGTACTACTGCAGTTATAGTAGCTACTACTACAGCCAGCACGTACAACTGCAGTGAAAGTAGCTACTACTACAGCCAGCACGTACTACTGCAGTGGAAGTAGCTACTACTGCAGCCAGCACGTACTACTGCAGTGAAAGTAGCTACTACTGCAGCCCGCACGTGCTACTGCAGTGAAAGTAGCTACTACTATAGCCAGTACGTACGACAGCAGTGAAAGTAGCTACTACTATAGCCAGTACGTACGACTGCAGCGATAGTAGATACTACTACAGCCAGTACGTACTACTGCAGCGATAGTAGCTACTACTACTACAGCCAGTACGTTCTACTGCAGCGATAGTAGCTACTACTACAGCCAGTACGTACGACTGCAGTGATAGCAGCTACTACTACAGCCAGTACGTACTACTGCAGTGATAGCAGTTACTACTACAGCCAGTACATACTACTGCAGTGATAGTAGCTACTCCTACAGCCAGCATGTACTACTGCAGTGAAAGTAGCTACTACTATAGCCAGTACGTACGACTGCAGCGATAGTAGATAATACTACAGCCAGTACCTACTACTGCAGCGATAGTAGCTACTATTACAGCCAGTACGTACTACTGCAGCGATAGTAGCTAATACTACAGCCAGTACGTACTACTGCAGCGATAGTAGCTACTATTACAGCCAGTACGTACTACTGCAGCGATAGTAGCTAATACTACAGCCAGTACGTACTACTGCAGCGATAGTAGCTACTACTACTACAGCCAGTACGTACTACTGCAGTGATAGTAGCTACTACTACAGCCAGTACGTACGACTGCAGTGATAGTAGCTACTACTACAGCCAGTATGTACTACTGCAGCGATAGCAGTTACTACTACAGCCAGTACATACTACTGCAGTGATAGTAGCTACTACTACAGCCAGTACGTACTACTGCAGTGATAGTAGCTACTATTACAGCCAGTACATACGACTGCAGTGATAGTAGTTACTACTACAGCCAGTACATACGACTGCAGTGATAGTAGTTACTACTACAGCCAGTACATATGACTGCAGTGATAGTAGATACTACTACAGTCAGTACATACGACTGTAGTGATAGTAGATACTACTACAGTCAGTACATACAACTGTAGTGATAGTAGATACTGCTATCGAGTCGGTAGATACTACTATAGAGTTAGTAGATACTACTTTAGTCAGTATATTCTACTATAGTCAGTATATACTACTGTATAGGAGCGACTGCTATAGAGGCGATAGATACTATTATAGAGTCAGATACTACCGCAGTCAGTAGAAACTACTGTAGAGTCACTAAATACTTGTATAGAGTCATTAGTTATGGCGATAAGAGTCGGTAGATACTACTGTAGAGTCGATAGATATGACTATAGAGTTGGTAGACACTACTGTAAAGTATATACTGCTATAGAGTAAGCAGACACTGCTATGGAGTAAGCAGATACTACTATAGAGTTAATAGTCATTACTATAGTCAGTAGATACTACTATAGAGTAAATAGACACTACTATAGATTCAATAAATACTACTGTAGAGTCAGTAGTTACTATTATAGTCGGTAGACATTACTGTAGAGTCGATATATAATACTAGTCAGTAGATACCACTATATTCAGTATATACTGCTGCAGAGTCAGCAGATACGACTATAGAGTCAGTAGACACTACTATAATGAACATATACTGCTATATAGTCTGCAGATACTACGCTAGAGTCTGCAGACACTACTATGGAGTTAGTAGTTACGACTATAGTCAGTAGATACTAGTATAGTCAATAGATACGACAATAGATTCAGTAGATACTACTGTAAAGTCAGTAGTTACTACTGTAGTCGGTAGATACTGCTATAATCAGCAGATACTACTATAATCAGCAGATACTGCTATAGAGTTAGTAACTACTCTAGTCAGAAGATACGACTACAGTCAGTAGATACTGGTGTAGAGTCGGTAGATATGACTATAGAGTCGGCAGCTACTGCTATAGTCAGCAGATACTACTGTAGTGACATCGCGGGATGTCACTGTACAGTGCCGGCCCGAGAGAGGCACGGCGTGCGATGTAACAACATCGCGGACACCACTATGATGTGGGTGTAGTATCGGCCCTAGAGGGGCTCGGTGAGCGCTGGTTGATAGCGCTAGATGGCACCACGCTTGGCGTGCAGTGCCAGCCCTACAGGATAGGGTGTGGAAGTGCTGGCCGTAGGAAAGGGGTTACTAAAAGCCATGGCACTCTAGTTGAGCCGGTAGATAATACTACAGTCTGGAGATAGTAGATCATTCTATAGAGTCTGCAAATACTATTATAGAGTCAGTAGATACTGCGATAGAGTTAGTAGTTACTACTATATTCAGTGGATACTACTATAGAGTCAAGAGATACGAATATAGATTAAGTAGATACTATAGTCATTAGATACTCCTGTTGAGTCAGTATTTACTACTATAGAGTCAGCAGATACTACTACAGTCAGTAGATACCACTATGGTCAATAAATACTGCTACAGTCAGATACGAGACTGCAGCCAGTCGACAACTACTACTATAGAGTCAGTAGATACTACTGTATAGTTAGTGGATACTACTACTTTCAGTAAAAACTACGGTCAGCAAAAACTACTTGTCAA